TTTTGTGCTCACGTGTTTGCTTAGCAGGAGTGAGCACATGCTTGCACCCTCTTGATCAAGAGAAATTGCCTTGTCAAGATTTTCTCTGTCTCTGTGTGTCTATTTTTAGCACCAGAGGGTTATTAATTCCAACAACATATAAGCACTTATTAGAGTCTTTTTTTATGGACTTGATTTTAAATGTCCCAGAAAGATCAGAACTGTAATGACAAAAACTTAAAAGAGATATGGTTAAAATTTGATGGACAATTTAGCAACTAACACAACAGTGTATCAGTACCACTAGCTTTTTGTTACCATGTTTATCTAAATTTTGTATTTTAGAAGGCTTGATATACTTGAAAAACATATTTAGTATAAGGAACCAGCAACAGCATCATAGCTCTATAGAGGTTATATATACATATTAGTTTAGTTGTTCTTGAAGTAAAACCTTAGATTTTTTTCAGTTGTAGGGGGGAAGAACATGTCAGTGACCCCAGATAGCCCAGTAACAGACACATATAGGGTAATTACTATATTAGATTCACCCAAGACAACAGTTGTTTAACCATGAGGTCATCTAGAAAATTTTACATTAGAAAGTAAGAGGCACAGAAGAGGTAGAGAAACAGCGCAAACATCAGCAGAGTTTATTGTTCAGATAGGAGCCCTGTGGAGGAGGACCTCAGTAAGAGGGCTAGAGCCTACTGCCACACACAGGCTTGGGCTAGATGTAGAAGGCTAGTAGAAAAGTACCAGGAAGTTCACTAAAGGATACTGTTGCTGGGCAACCAAGAAAGATAAGTTATAGTTAGGTCACTGTCTGCTCAACTGTCCTTGGCATCCATTCTGGGAGATAAAGGTTAACAATTGTTCCTTTGTCAGTCTTTGGGGTTGGGGGGGCAGAGGGCCTGGTCCTAAAATGGCTGTCCTCACTGTTAACTCCAACATAAACCAACTCTTAAATGAACATGACTCAGTTACTTTAGTAGTTAAAATCCTGACAAAAATCATCAGAGAACACAGGTAAATATTTATGGGGACTAAGTGTGGAGTTAAGAACCCTAATGGTCAAGAATCATGGCTCAGATGTTGATAAGGGATCATATCCCAGATTGTTGACAATAACACATGGCTCGTGACATACAGCAGGATCCTACCAACTTGTAGTCAGTGGAGCCCCCTTAAAATAACAGGCCCAATCTGGCCATACCAGGCCAAAAATCCCCTCCACCTGTCATGTGGAAGTAGTAGGACTAACAACTCCATTCTGTTGACTCTAATGAAAACTGGACATCTTGACCTCCAGTGTAGTGTTCCTTTTTGAGTTTTTATTTCTTTATCCCATCTGGAGGGTGTACTTTGGCTTTGTTTTTGTTTTGTTTTGTTTTTTACTTTGCTTTACATAAGTGAATTTGTCTCAACTCTCATATCAATGCAGCAGTACTCCCTGTGTTTAGCTGTCTCTTGCCTCTCTGTGTTTTAATAAACTCTTGCTGTCTTGACAAATTTGTGGATTAACCTATAGCACCAAAAATTTGACAGTTATCTTGACAAAACAAAAACCATTTTTAAGACTGTTTTTGTAAATGTTATTAAGAACACTATGATATTTTTAAGATAGTCTTGTTATGAGCTTAGAGAATTAAGTTTTAGTTTAACACTAGTACATTAAATCTTGACCTTACAAAACCTTTAATGTAACTGGATTCTAGTCAACTTAATCACTTACAGAGGCATTTATAAGCTCCATCTTTTTATGACAACTTACTCTGTACCTTTATGAAAACTTATTTTGTATCCCTTGGGGGAGTTTGTCTTTATCTTTTTCTTTATTTAAAACTTTTTATTTTTAAAAACCATATCCTTAATATCATATATATATATGTTACTTGTTGAAAATAACTTAGAAAACCTTTTAACTTAGAGTCTTATATTTGTATGAAAAAAAGCCAGAAAGAAAGCAACCTTAAAATTATTTTGTGTATAAAAACAATTTATAGAGAGCCCACTTCTTAATATACCCATATATTATAAGAGAGCGTTAAATCCCAGATTTTATTTATGACAGAATGAAACGGAATAAGGGTAGTCATTTTTAACTATCCAAATTTTAAGATTCCTGCTGCAGGCTGTGCCCCATCCCCCTTTTCTTTTCTTTCCTCCCCTGGTTTAAGCCAGAGTGTTAACCTCTGAATGCCTGCATCCTAGTGAGACCTGATTGAAATAAGTTTGAAAACTTGTTTTCTTTAAAGTAGCAGTAGAACAGAGTAATGATTTTTTAATTTACTTTATAATAAGAGCCATACTCAAGATGTTTACATATTTATGTAAAAAGCTTAAGCAGTTTGTAATAGAGATCTTTAAAACTAACATCCTGGGTTTTTTTACCTTGAATATCACATTAATCTTATAACAGCAGTTTAAGAACCATTTTGAAGATGCTGACATATACACATATACACACACACATAAAAGTTTTATAAATTAAGTTTGCCAGGAAAAAATGTCAACTTAAGTGCTCAAAGATGAGCTGGGATTCCAGAAGCAAATTAAATTTTGCCCAGTACTTTAAACAAATTCACATACACACACACACACACACACATGCACTCACACACAGACACACACACACAATTAGAGTTCCGTCTCAAAAAAGAGAAAACTTTGAAATTATACCCAGAGGGCCATCCAGTGGAATGGTTGATGATGCATCTGTTCTCTTGTGAATCTCCCTCTTTGGAACTGAATTTTTTTTATCCATCCCTTAACCTCAGTTGTGGCTATTTCCCAGGAAAATCTCAACCCCCCTAACTCTGAGAGGTGTCTTACACACTTTTGCCCTGCTCACTGAACCTGAGAGACACAGTTTCACCCCAAAAGGCAGTTACCCAGGGTTCTTACCAGTCTGACGAGTGGTGCTTCCCTCCCCTCGTTGGTTCCTGCGCCTCACCGGGATTTGTTGTGTTTCTAAGGCCTTTACCCTGACTCACCAGGAGAGTCCCTCTCCAGATCAAACTGTCTATTGGCACCTGGTGGGATCTTCTCTTGGTAGTCTGGGGGATGCACCTCAGAGACAAGGAAGGTGACAAATCACCATCTCTGCAATCCCAGATGAGCCCCAAGAAATGTTGCGGGAATCTCAAGCTGAGATATGGGACACTGAGGCAGTTTAGCAGGAAGCAACGTTTTATTGTTTGGGCACAAATTCAGTAGACTTGTGTCCAAAGGCTGAGCTCCAAGAACAAAGGGGTCTCACCTTATATACCGTTACAAGAAGGTTACAGAAGCATCGAGCAAAGTTCAACCCACATATGACTTTATTGGCTATTTCATTCCTCCAGTGCTATGTGACCTTTTTTGTGTTTTAAGTTTTTAAGTTTTCTCTCTCCGCTTTGCCATCCCTTCCCCATGTCTCATTATCAGAACACAGCCTATCTGTTTCTCTTCTGGTCCAATCACAGAATGATTTAAACACAGTGAAATTAACACAGGACTGAGAGCTTCTCTACATCAAATGGGCTGTAAATTTCACATACAGAAATTGAAAATGTTTGCTTTTGAAATTTCTTTTTTTTTAAATATTTATTATTGTTTTTGACTGCACTTGGTCAAAATTATATGTAATAAATCTGCAAATAAGATGGGCTTGGTATATATTGAACTTTTTTTTAAAGTTCGTGCTGGGCATGGTAGTGTATGCCTGTAATCCCAGCACCTGGGAGGCTGAGGCGGGAGGAGCTTGAGGCCAGCATGGGCTGTACAGCAGGATCCATCTCACAATGACAACAAAACTCAAAATAACAATATTATATAGCCATACATTTTCCTGGATATCATGAAGCCTAATTGGTTGAACTGAATTGAAAATAATCACTTGACAATGGTGTACTGCCTCTACCACAGTATCCTAGACCCAGTTCTCCTTTTTAAAATTCTAAGCTGGTACTAGTGTCTTTGGGAGCATCCCTAAGTGAAAAGCAGAATAGGCAGTTCCCCTCATCCCATCCCATATTCATACATCTTGCTGGCAGCTAAACAGCCAGTAATCTAGGAAGGCAAGAGATGGGGTAAAGTGAACTGTGGCCAACTGGTAAAAGTAGAAAAGTCACAATCAGCATGTCGCACTCACCCTTCAAATGAACACAGCACAACAGTTAACATGCCTGTCTATTGCTACTATACTACTAGATTTTTCAAATCAGTTTTGATTTTTAAACTTTGTTTCACTGTCCAGCTGTAGGGCAAAGAACATAGATGTGACAGCCTTACACTCGAACTTCTACACTGCAATTATTTTTAAGTGATCCTGGACAAGTTAGTTAACCTCTGGGATCTCAGGGTTTGTATCTAATAAACCCGCATTTGGTTTTGAAGATGTGACTGTGAATGCACGATCTCCCATGGCCCACCTTCAGTGATCTTCCCTTCTTGTCCTATTCCAAACCTTGTGCTGGTATGGTTTGTAGCACTAAGTAATTCCGGAACTTTGAACAAGTCATTTAACCCTACTTAACCAGTTTTCTCATTTATAAATTGTATCTATAATACAATTTTTGCTCTAAGTACTTCACAATCTTATTTTAAGGATATAAAAGTAATGGATGTCAAATAGCTTTGCTTAAAGTAGAAAATTTTAGGAAGCTTCTCCACCTCACATCCCCATTGATAATATATTGAAAAGTATTATTTGATTCTAAAAGCAATATTCCCATTAAAAACAATTAGAAAAATTCTAAAACTGTCCATGTAGGGCTAGGGCTGTGATTCCAGCCCTGCAGCTTCCCCCCAGAACCCCCAGGGTGCTCTCCCGAAAGCCACTCCTTTCCTGCTACAGGGACTGAGCGGGAAGACGCCATGAAGCAGCGCGTGGAAATCGCCGCCCGCGGAACCAAAGTCCGAGCTCTCGGGCGGGCTCCGGAGGGAGGTCTTTAAGTGTTGCACGGAGGGCGGTCTCTACGAATACGATTGGCAGTAGGTCCCGGAAGCACTCAGTAGTTTCTAGCGCTGCCGGCAATCGGCTCACGAGACTTCAGGGCGTGCGGTTGCCTTTGGGATTCTAGCTGAGAGGAGAGGGGCCCTCGCGGAGATGGAAAGCGGCATGGAAGGCCGCACGGCCAGCGCGCTCTTCGCGGGGTTCCGGGCCTTGGGGCTTTTTAGCAATGACATTCCACACGTCGTGCGGTTCAGCGCGCTGAAGCGCCGGTTCTACGTGACGACCTGCGTGGGCAAGAGCTTCCACACGTATGACGTAAGTGGCTTCCTCCTTCGCCGGTTTCCCGGGAATTCCCCCGGGTTCCCAGCGCCGCCCCGGGCGACCCCGCGTTCTCCTCCCACCCCTAGGGGTTCCCTCTTTGCCTTGTCGGCGTAGCGGCTCCCCATCTCGGCACGTGTGGATCCTGCGCTCGCGGTTCACCTCCGGGCATTTTCGGGGTCATCCCGGCCGCGGGGAAAGCATTGGAGAACGTCTCGCATCCTGACTTCAACCCCAGTACGGCCCCCCACCCCAAAAAAATAAGTTCCGTGAGAGCCCTTGAGGAGGACAATAGCAAATGTTAATAAGCACTTTTCCGGAAAGCAGAAAACAGCTGTAGCGTTGTTTTGCTAAAACCAATTTTGGTTTTGCTAAGTTTCTGTCCTGAAATATAACTAAGTTATACCAAGTTATACTAAGTTTCTCATTTAAAGAAGTTCTTGAAATCCTATCTTTGGTACAGTGGCTTTCTTGATACTCTTACACACAAACACGTTTTGCCCTATGCTCTACTTCCAAAGAAACCCTATGTATGGTTAATAGAGTAACACATTTCTACATTTTATAAAATTTTCACTATTTAATTGTGCATTGAAGTTTAAGTCATAAAAAGTAGTTTTTAAGGTCTCCTTTTTGTTCTAATGGCATTTTAGAACATAAATATTTACTTAATATTTAGAATATTAAGTAAATGCTTAATTACTTGAGTACTCTTTGCGTTGCTCATACCAACCAATGCGTTGGGCTAATCTCTGAAACTGAAAATAACTTGAGAGTGAAAAAATGACAGTGTGCCTAAGTAAATAACTTTGCAAGCATATTACTGTTTGCAGTCAGACTTCTACAGATTAGCTTTTTCTGCAGGGAAATTCAACAAGTTGTGGATAGCAGGTGGTGTTGCTGGTAGCAGCTAGTATTTATTGAGCATTTGTTATATGACCAGCTCTGTTCTGTTTTATACAAATTTCCTCAAAACCCCTTTGAATTTTCATAAGCCCATGAAGTACGTACCTATTTTAATCCCTGTTTTACAGACGAAGTTGAGACACACAGACCTTAAGTAATATTCCCATTCACAACCTATGTATTGTGATAACCATAGCCTGAGCTAAAAACCATGGCTCTAAACCATGAGCCAATCCAGCTCATGGTTTAGCGTATGTTATCAAAATACTTCATATTGTGGAAACTAAGCGAAATTAAATTTCAGTATCCACCCAGAGCAGTGTATTGAAGCATAGCTGTGCACATTTATTCATAGGTCTTCCGTGCAGTAACGGCATAGTTGAGTAGTTGCAACGGAGACTTATGTGACTCACAAAACCTAAAATATTTATTCTTCGGCCCATTATAGAAACTGCTTCCCTTCCATCACCACTTCTGGTAATATAGTTGAAGATGTAAGCTTTCCTACTCATAAAAATTATTAGAGGTAGTGAGTATCTCTTTTAGGAAGGATAGCATAGCAGATTTTTGTATGAGGTTATATCTTAATCTTCAGAACCTAGGTTATTGTTTTTGCAAATAAAAAGCTTGTTTTTTTGTTTTTTTTTTTAAACAGGTTCAGAAACTTAGTCTGGTTGCAGTAAGTAAGTATGGACTTTCTTCTAAATTTGTGCATGTTTATTATCTTTAAATTTTGGATGGGGGCTGGGGTGGAAGTGAGGGGAGGCCTGGTGGCATGACCCAAGTGGTCTGCTACTGCCTGTCAAGTGTGAGGTGCTTCCTTAGTTCAGCAGTGCTGCCAAAAAAAAAAAAAAGTTTTGTATTGAGAAAAATTTAAGACTTAATAGAACATATAAAAAAAAAATCCAGTGAAAGAAATGTACAAAGCAAAAACAAACAAAAAATGTCCAAGACAAGATAATTGTTTTACTGTCAGTTGTCATGTGTTTTTTTTATATTTTTTAGTTTGGAATAGTTCTTCAGACTTTTGAGTTTCACAGTACTTTTTTTAAGTTGGTTCTTCTTTTGTTTATTAATTTTTGGTTCTGATAATCTACCATTGAGCTTCATCATCACCACTGGCATTTTTGAAGAATACAGGCTTGTTCTTTTTTAGAATGTCCTTCAAATTGGTGTTTTTCTGATGCCTACTCCTAGTTAGATTCAGCTTATGCAGTTTGGCAGGAATAACAAATGATGCTTAATTCTCAGTGCATTATACTAGGAGGCACATGCTGTTGATTAGTCCTATTTCTGGTAGTGATAGCTTCCGTGATTTGGTTAAGATCACATCTGTCAGGAGGCTGCATTTTAAAGTTACTATTTTGCCCTTTGTTACCAAGTATCTTGTGGTAACATACATTGAAGAAAGTCACTGTAGTCTAAATTGAATACAAAACTGAATGATAAAACTATAAAAATAGTGCTGTGAAAACTTAATCCCAAAATGAAATATACAGCATAATTAGTACTTAAGACTTCCCTCTGTCTACTAACTCCCCTGCTCCCAAAAAAGGAAAAGAAAAGAAAAGGACAGTGTGACCATGTTAGTGAGAGAGGAGTCAAGAAATCCCATCATGTGAGAAATGGTTAGAGGTGGTAGGCATATTTACCTTGGAGAAGACTGAATAGAAACCATATTGTCTTTAATTATTTTAGGCATCAGCATATAGATACCATATGGAGTTTTGGATTGGTCCAAAGGGTACACTTAGATGAGAATCTAGGTTTTGATTTACTTTTGTTTTTCCTGGAGTTAATAGTGAGCTTGATGTTCTCAAAAGTGTTCACATGATGGGTGGATGCCCATTTTTTTATATTAAGTGATGGTTTTTTTCTAAATTCAAATGCTTCAAAAAAAACTTCTAGCCTGCCTGCCTGTCTTCTTTCCTCCCTCCCTCCCTCCTTCTCTCTCTCTCATCTTCCCTGTTCCTCCCTCTCAGAATCTTGCTCTTGCTAGGCAAGTACTCTCTCACTTGAGCTACATCCCGTCCTTCTGTTTCTTTTTAGTTTCGTAGGTAGGATCTTGCTAACTTTGCCTGGACTGGCTTTGGCCTGTGATCCTCCTACTTCTGCCTCCCAAGTAGTTGGGACCACAGGTGTACACACCACACCTAAGTTTTTTTTTTTTTTTTTAAATGGTCTTTGCCAACGTTTTCCTGGGCAAGCCTTAAACTGAGATCTTCTTGTCTGTCTCCTGAGTAGCTGAAATTACAGGCATATGCCATATGCCTGGCTTCTTTTCATTTCTTTAGGATTATGTTGCTATTTCTGTAAATCTTAGACATTTATAATATTGAAGTCACTGTTTTATACTTTGATACTCAGCTTTCATTTTTATTTAAATATATATTTTAAAATTTTAAATGTTATATGTATACTTAAGGTTTCTGTTTTTTCCAAGATCTTAAAAATCCTTATATTTTCTCCTAGGTAACTCTGTTCCACAGGATATCTGCTGTATGGCAGCTGATGGGAGGCTAGTCTTTGCAGCATATGGGAATGTTTTCTCTGCATTTGCGCGTAATAAAGAGGTTTGTATCACAGAACTATTTTAACTTGTATAGTTTTTTCTTTTTAATGTATGTTTGGTTTTCTAGAGGAAGAGAAAATTGATTACACACACTTATATGCTATATATATATACACACATACGCTATATGTAGTTCAGATGGAGAGACTTCATTGAAGGAACTGAATGCACAGGTGTTGCCAGGGTTAAGGGAGCAAAATTGGAAAAAGCAGGTGAGTAGCTGTGGGAAATTGATCAACACTAGGGTCAGTGGGCCAAAGAGAAGAGAGAGTGTCATTGGAGCCTGATGAGAACTAAAACAATGAAGAAGGGGATATAGTTATGGAGGATCAGCTGCTCTAAGGGTAATATCTATGGCAAAGCAGAAAAGTATCCAGAACTACCCTACATACCCATCTCATCCCATCTGGTAGCCAGTTGATGATGGAATCTATAGAGGTCAGCCTTCTAGAGCATACCTTTCTCTAGGATGCAGAGAGTTGCACTGATTGAATTGGGTGAGGGACCTAGGTGTATGTGCATGCCTCTTCCCTAACTTTAGTAGAGAGACTGGGCCTACAGGTCTCATTTCTGTGCTCCTACTCAATGTTTCACTTATTATTGGACTGGTTGAAGGAGCAGATGAACATGGTTAGTTTCTTGATACTTGTTTATTTAACTTTAGATAATCAAAAGTTGGACTTTTCTTAACATGAGCATTTTTGGATTACATGAAGAATGAGTAATAATGTGAAAATTCTTTTAAACTTTGACATTGTAGGTAGTACATACTTTTAAGGGTCATAAAGCAGAAATCCATCTTTTGCAACCCTTCGGGGATCACATTATCTCTGTTGACTCTGACAGCGTTCTTATTATTTGGCACATATATTCAGAAGGTAAGAATTAGCTTGTTTATTTGCTTTATTTTAGGATAGTAAATACATACATAGAATTAAATGTCTATGTAAATATACCTTCTATACTAGAGGTTTCACATGTAAATAGTAAAAAAAAAAAGTATAAGGAAAAAGGTTCTAAATAAGAAATAGATGAGCAATTTTAGTCCATTAACTACTTATGACTTAGGATATTGTGCTTATCACAACTGATACCTTTTCCATTGTTGTACTCCAACATTAGTGACTTGTTATGTTGTTTTCTCTATGGAATGGATTTTGATATATGTTCATACTTGCATAACACTTGGATAGTGTTTTCACCTTTCTAGTAAAGGAAATTATATAATCTAAAGAAAAATACATCTTTTTTGTGTGGAAATATGTGAGAAGCACTTGTTCTTGGTTTCACCAATGTTTGTTTCATCTTTTGAGTGACTCACATAGAAGCTTTTCAGATATTTTGCTCTTCACTCAGAGCACTTACTGGTGCCTCTTGATTGAATTATAAAGCTGCTGACCACTGGAAACATTTTATAATCCCTGTCTTTTCTGTAAACCAACTTGGCAGTAAAAGTTTTAATAGTATTTATATTAGAATTTGTGGATCATTTTTGACAGTCTAACTGACATTTGTAAGTTGACCCATCACACTTATTTTTTAAGTGATGTTTATAAGTTAGTATGTAGGTCTGATGTGATACTTTAGTGATAAAATATGGGTATATGAAGCATGTTTTAAACTTTTGTAAAAAAATTACATTTTATTTATAACTTTCACTTTTGTAGAAGAATACCTACAGTTGACTTTTGATAAATCAATTTTTAAAATTTCGGCAATTTTGCATCCAAGTACATACTTGAATAAAATACTTCTGGGCAGTGAACAAGGAAGCCTGCAGTTATGGAATGTAAAATCCAAGTAAGCACTTTATTTAAAAATAACATGGAGTTTCACCTTAACCTTATCTACCACTTCGTAAAGCATTCTCAAGTCTATCGTGTGTTTATATAAGTCTCTCTTATTATTGGAGGGCTGTCAGTAAATATGGCTGCTTTTGAAGTTTTTTTTATGGCATCACATATGTGAAAGCTGGTATACTGTCCTGGCACATGATTGCTTCATAAATGCTCATTGAAAATGTAATCTAATGGTCCTTTAACTGGAAAGAACACATACAGCTATGAAAGCTCTAGTAATAGTACATGATTATTATTTGGCAGCTTCTAGTTTTCACTAAAGTAAGAAGCAAAGAGTTGGTAATTCAATCAGTGGTAACATTTAAAAGAGAAAAATGCTATGATCATCACTGATATACTGAATATCTAATGTTATTGGTATAGCTGGAAGGCTACATAAAATGATTTTTAACACTTCTACCTATTATTTGAATATTTATCCAGACAAAAGTGAGGCAACTCATGCTGCTTTGGGTAGCATTAAAAAAAGCAAACAAAATATTTGACCATCCAAATGGTCTTTTTCAAAGTCCCTATAAATTTGAAAAGGCAAGGTTTAATTTTCATCCTATTTCTTAATTTTGAATCACTATTTCATTTTTAAAGAAATGGCAACATGGCATAGCAGTTAGCAGCTTGGTGTCTAGAATTTGTTTGGACTCTTACTTAACTAACCTTGTAACCTTAGCTTAATTATTTCATGTAATTTTCTCAGTTTCTGTTTTTAGAAATAGTGATACTGTTCACCTTTTGTGATTTTGTTTGCATTAAATTAAGTTAATGTATATTCTTAGGTCTGTGTAGTAAAGTAAGAATTTAACAAGTACTACCTGTTACTTCACGTTTTAATGTGTAATTTTCCTCTAAAAAAAAAAAGCTTTTAACTATTTTCCTTTGTAGTAAGCTTCTGTATACATTTCCAGGATGGAAAGTTGGAGTGACAGCTCTTCAGCAGGTTAGTACTTTTTGTTAAAGGAAAGACAAGGTTAGTAGTATGAATGATTTCAGGGATCAACCCTATTTTTAGACCTAAAAACAAAATAATGTATAGCTTAGTTTACCTTTATCTCTGTTGTCCCAAGAAAATAGTGTTTCAGAAGCATAATCAACAATAAGTCATATAATATTAATATTTATTAATAAATATTAATATAACATTTATATGCTTATAAAAGTTTGTGAAATCCTTTGTGTGTGGAATTACGCACCACACCTGTAGTTGTGTAACCTTGTTTATTAATCATTTTGCAAGCATGTAGTTCAGGGTATTATGCAAAACAAATGAGTTGTTCAGTAATGCAAGACTAGGTCATACGGAGAAATTTGTCAAGATATTAAAATTTGTGGTTTGAAATAAGAGGTCAAAATCCTAATGTTTATTCAGTGGTAGACTCTTTTAGAAATAACTATTTGTTGTTATGAGTTAGCCAAATAATGTATGGATGAATGTATGTCTGCAGAATATCTCATATGTCTGTTGGTGTTGTGTATAGCCTTTATACCCTTATCTTCATTATCCATTACTATATGTGCCAAATTAATTTGCATTTCTCTTATCCCCTCACATTCCATCAACCTTGCTCTGCTTTTGCCTACCCAGAAAATTCCAAAAGTATCAGATGATTAAGTTTCTTTGTTTAAGCATCTGTTTAGTTTTTAGTATCTGTTTAGTCTCTGTTTTGGTATCTTTACCTTCTACATATGGTCTCACACATAGTAGGTACTTGGTGGCCTATTAATAAAATGTTTAGCTAGATTCCATTCTATAATTGATTTCTCAGACTCATAATAGAACCTATTTGTTAGACTACTGTAATTATAAGACCATTATATCATAGAATATTAATGTTGGAATAGAGTGATTGTAAAACTTATTTTACCTGTTAACATGTTTTATAGGTTTTTCCCTATTTTCCTTAGATAAACAGTTCTTCACTTCCTTTGTAGTTGGCTTCTTATGTTGCCATGCTTATGGCAAACATTTATATATTTTCTAGTGGACTTTTGTTTGTTCATTTGATTAGCCTGATCTATAGTGATTCACACATGTGATTCCTTTTCTGTGTGGCTGTATTCTTACCAAGTCAGCTTTTTGGGAGGAGGTGTTGACTTGCAGAAATGAACCTTGGAAGTAATTTGGAAATACCATTTTTAAACACTCCCATGTTAAATAGTATTTTAGAGTATGCTAGAATGGTAATAATACGTGTGAGGTTGTTTTTTATTGTTTTGGTTTTTTGCTACCTTTAAGAAGAGATTGCATTATTTCTTTTAATAACACACAAGTAATAGTGCATGTTCTCAATAATATTAAAACTGTGTTTAAGAAAATAAAACATTGAGTAATTTAATTTTCAGGCACCAGCTGTGGATGTTGTTGCTGTTGGTCTCGTGTCTGGTCAGGTGATCATTCACAACATTAAGTTTGATGAAACATTAATGAAATTTCGTCAAGACTGGGGACCCATTACTTCAATATCATTTCGCACAGGTAACTTTTAACTTAGCTATTAGGGTTAAGAATACTTAAAATGTTCTACTTTAAAGGTCATGAAAATTATCTTAATAGATGTTTTCTTGTACTTTAATAGAAGTTAATGAAATACTAAAGTAAGATTAGTGTATAGTTTTTTCTGACTTTATAATTACATATGAGTTAAAATGGAGAGAGAATTTGTGTCTTGGGGATGTTTGTTTTTCTTAATATATTTTATTTTAAAAACAGATGGTCATCCAGTAATGGCAGCTGGAAGTCCATGTGGCCATATTGGACTCTGGGATCTGGAAGAAAAAAAATTAATCAATCAGATGAGAAATGCACACTCTACAGCGATTGCAGGACTGACATTTCTCCATAGAGAGCCACTACTTGTTACAAATGGCGCTGACAATGCTCTCAGGGTATTGTGATTGTTGTTGTTGCTATTGTTTTGGTGGTGCTGGGGTTTGAGCTCAGGGCCTTGTGCTTACATGACAGGCACTCTGCCACTTGAACCACACCACCAGCCCTTTGCTTTAGTTTGTTTTTCAGATAGGGCATCACACTTTTGCCTGGAATGGCTTCAAACTGTGATCTCTCCTACCTCTACCTTCTGAGTAGTGGAATTAAAAATATGTACCACCAGGCCCAGCTTATTTTTTGACATAGGGTCTTACTAACCTTCGCCTGGATTGACCTCAAACTGCAGTCTTCCTGTCTTCACTTCCAGTGTAGCTGGGATTATAGGCATGCAGCACCATGCCCTACTGTGATTATTTTTGTTAACATCTTCCAGGCTCATCTGACCTAACTTTTGTGTTATTAAAAGCCTACTTTAATATGTCAGGCTTGAACTTAGAAGACAAAAGGAGTATGGGGAGAGATGTGAATAGATGAGATAAAAAAATTAAAAAACATAGCAAGTTATGTGATCATAATGAAGTAAGAAATGGTTGCAGATTATTTCTCTCCTAACCCCGACTCCTGGGTCTGTGGCCTGTCGGGTTGATTTAGAAGGTGACTTGACTGCTCATAGTCAGATAGCACATGGGGAGAGCCTTACCACTTCATTTCTTGGCAGATATGGATATTTGATGGTCCTACAGGTGAAGGACGATTACTGAGATTCAGAATGGGACATAGCGCTCCTCTTACCAGTATTAGATACTATGGTCACAATGGACAACAAATTCTGAGTGCAAGTGAGTTTCTGCTTTCTACTATTATTTCTGAAAGTACTGGGAGCTGGAGCCTCAGCAGTACACTTGGTTTGATGTTTAAATATAGACATTTTTAGATTAAAATATCTCTTTAATAAAGTATATTTTAACACTTTCTTTTAACAAAAAACTTAGCATTAAGCTTTTTATGTATTCTCGCTTTAGAAGATCTGTGATTCATGTTGTCCATTGTCTTGACAAAGTTTGATTAGGAATTTTTTGTGTCTGTCAATAGGTCAAGATGGGACACTTCAGTCATTTTCCACGATACATGAAAAGTTCAACAAGAGTTTGGGACATGGTGGGTCATTTGCCATGTTCAAGATAGAAAATAAGCTGCTGATCATCAAGATTCTGTGAAAGAACTGGAAGAAGTTTCATTAATATATCTCTTTCTGCTTTTTGTTTTGTTTTGTTTTTTTGGAGAAAGTTCTTTAAGAAGTATTTGGAGGAGATACCAGTATGATCCTAAGATCAGAGTTGCTATAGAAGTGGTTGAGGTGCTACTATAAAGTTATTTTTGAGGTAGATCTTGGGCAATAAAAATATACTGCTGCACCCAGAAGACACCGGTAGCCTACCTTAAGACATCTATAGATTTTAGAATTTTCAGTAGGGAAGCAAGCTTAGAGAAAGCATGAAAGTAAGCAGTGTCTCATCTTTTATTGCTTTGAAGGGCTTATTTTACTCTCTTTCCATGGTTTCTAGCCTTTGATAGATCTGTTAAACAAAACTTTTAAAGTTATATTAATAATTACTCATCTTTTAAAGTAAATATCTTAGCTGTTCTTACAAGTATATGCTTCTAGGTGAATTTTAGGGTCATTTTAAGAAATCAACATCTAAAATCATTCCTCTTGGAGTTAAATTGGAGAGATTCAGTACCTTAAAGACTTCTCATCTAGGACTGTGTTCTGTCCTCACTTAAGTTGCCTTTTAGGTTCTCCAGTAACTTAAAAATTTTCCTCATGTTGGTCCTACATGCACAGTATTCTTCTGTGGCTTTTTTTTTTTCTGAAATGAATAATTTTTGTTCGCTACAGTTCTAACTGCTACAATATTGAGAATTTACTGTGCTTTCTTTGTACTAGTTCTGCAACTTGTCCTAGTGGCGCTGTTGTTACTTGTTTTTGGTACCGGGGTTTGAATTCAGGGCCTCACACTTGCTAGGCAGGCTGTCACTTGAGCCACTCTACAAGCCCATTTTTGTATTGTGTTGGGTATTTTCAAGATAGGATTTTGCAAGCCATTTGCCCAGGCTGACTATGAACCACGAGCCTCATGATCTCTGCCTCTTGAATAGCTAGGATTTCAGGCACAAGCCATTGGCATACAGCTATTATTATTTGTAATAATTATTTAGTTGTTTCTTTTGATGTACTTAACTTTATGGCTATCATATTGGCAAATAATAATTTTACTTCTTTTCAATTATTTATACCTTATAAATTATTTTTATATCTTAATTATACTAACTTCAAAAGTAATTAAGTAATAATGGTAATAACAGCATCTTTATTTTGCTCCTGATTTAAATGGAAATATCTTGAATTTATAATTTTGTGGCAGTGAATAGCTTTTCTGTTAATGTATACATTTTTCATTAAAAAAAGTTCACAGCTTTAATCCTTTCTCCCGTAACCCCAGGCTTAATAAATAAGAAGAGAGTCAAACGTAAAGGACTTCAGAATGCCATGTCAGTAAGACTTCCTCCTATCACAAAATTTGCAGCTGGTAAGTAACTTAACAGTGTTTTAAGAAATTCTCCTTTGTTTTACACTTCATTATTTCTTCGATCTTGGTAAATGTGTTTGAAATATTAGAAAATGTTCAGAAAGTAACCTAACCCCAAACTCATGCTGATCTTCAGTGAAGACTAAGAATGAGTTATTTTTAATGTGCATTTGATACCTTTTTTTTCTTAGTACAATAACTTTTCTACAACCTTTTGGTATCTTGTAGATTTTGATGGGGTTTGCACAATTTCAGTTTTTAAACAGTGCAAATTGACCAAGCAAAAAAAGAAAACAAAGACTAGTTGTCTCCTCACTCACTTGTTTATATAAGTTATATGTGAGACAACACTTAACCCATGTTATAGATAAGTGTCTATTCACATTTATACGTTACCTTTAAATATTAAACTTGTTGTCTGTTAATCAGAGGCTTTGCTTTTCTCTCTAGTAGCTATTAATAAATGATATTTTATAACCCTTTGTATTATATCGTATGCTTGGTATAATGAAAGTCACTAATGTAAGAAGGCAAGAACTGAGACAACAAAGTGAGGACATAGAGCTCTCACTAATTGAGGTCTAAGTATACAGAGGTCTTAGTATACTATGGTAATTTGAGCAGAACTTCTTTCAAAGAACTAAGTTTAAGAAAAATAGATAATAGGATCATTGAGTGAAAACTATTATGAAATAAACTGTAGATACCACATTTATCGTAAGGCTATTATTTTATGGTTATTATAACAACCTGATGTCTGTTTTGGTTTTTAACCACCTTTCTGTCATTTTTTAGAGCCTGAGTAGTATTTTCAGAATGTATATCCAATCTTGTCATTTATCTGCTTAAAATTTTTTAGTGGTTTCTTATTACCTTTGGGGTAGAATCTTATCTCCTTAACCTTGATTTCCATGACTTTGTAATTTGACCTTTTTCTTTGTCCTGTTCCCACCTCTTCCAGGAAAGTACTTCACTTCTTTGCTGCCCTCAATTTTGTTCAGTCTTAGGTCTATTGTTTGGAAGGCTGTCTCACCTCCACTGCATCATTGCTGCTACCCTGCTACTTTCTGTTTATTTTACCACTCCTTCCAGGGAGCCATTATTGCTGTGCCCAAATCCCTAATAAACTTTTCCTGAGTGCTCTTATTAAACACTTTCATACTGTCACACTTTATTATAACTTCTTTTAATCAAAATCTGTTGTTTGTTACTTGATGCAGCCTTTCCACAGCATATTCACATTGAATACTATAAAAAAATTAACAGTTTGTTAGATTGGAAGCTCATCGTTATCAGAGATAATCTGTTTTGCCATTGAATTCTTAGTACCTCCTGTTAGTATGAAATATTAGATGCTTAATGATAGATGAATGAATGAAGGAGAAAATGAAAAGTAATTTTGCTTACAATTTTAATTACATTTAGAGGCAGCTCGTGAGAGTGATTGGGATGGTATCATTGCTTGCCATCAAGGTAAGCTATCTTGCTCAACCTGGAATTATCAGAGATCTACAATAGGAGCTTACTTTCTCAAACCAAAAGGATTGACAAAAGATGACATCACTGCAACAGTAAGTGACCTTATTTATTAGGATATTTTTTCCTTTAAAACTGCCATGGCAATTTTTTACACTTAAGTTTATTAATATTGTTGGAAAGAACATGGCTCAACATTTTGAAATTATTCCCAATAGTATCAAGCTTATTAATACTGAACTTGTTTATTTTGATAGTTTTTAGTGGTTACCATTACCATGGCTTAAAATGCTTATTAAAAGTGTAACTCAACATTTTCATCTTATTATTTACAAATTACATTGTAAGTGTGTATGCTCAGCTTTCCCTAGTATAAAAAAAGTCTTAAAATTTTATATAATTTTCTAAGCCATAGTGATTCTGTCTTAAGCTTCTCTAGGAAGCTTACCTGCATAGTTATGAATAACAGTTGTAGTACTAGTGATAATTATAGCTAACATTTTATGAGTGCTTACGTTTTCTCAGACTGTCTGCCTAGCATGCATTATTTCATATTATCCTCACAATTCCATGATATGATCTGTTGGCCTTTTTATAAATGGTAAGGTTAAGGTTTAATATAATGAGTGCCATACCTAAGAAAGAGGTAGACCTGGGATTTAAACCTAAGACAACTCATTATGAAATCTACATTCTTAACTTACACCCTATAAGGGTCACTCATAAAACATTTAGTGTATGTTTAGATAATGATACTTAAACTGGTGCTGAGTCATGTCTTCAACCTCAACTACCTGGATCAAAGTCAGTAATAAGTAGGTAATAGACAAAAGTAATTGTTAGAGAACCCATGCAATAATAATTTTGTGACTCAAAGGTAACTCTCACAGTTTATTCTTGTTTTACTTTTTTGTCTTAGATAATACATTACAATGAATGAATTAGAAGAGGAAATTGCTAGAAGCAGGTTCACTAACAACAGTAAATTTTATTAAAATAAATGCAAGTTTTAGAAAATATGACGGGACCACCTTGTAAGTTTATTACTTATAGGTTATAGCGTAGTATCTCTGATAGTTGCTGAGGGCATAACTTTTCAGCGTCACATAAACATGAGTCATTCAAAATAGGCAAGTATGTTTGTATTCCCTTCAGGAAGATAGAATGTGTTTACATATAGTGTATTATTTCCTGTCTAATACTTCTTTTTTTAAGGAGTAAGAGAAAATGTATATTTGTACAACATTCTTATGTAATGCTATGAAAGTGTGTATATCAGTTGCCTCAATTATATATTTTCTATTTAAATCTTAAAAGTCATCTGCTTTTTTAAGTTGAATTATTTCTGGGGTGGGTGACATCTGACTGACACATATTGTCAGTCACTGATTTCATTGGTCATTAACCACCACATGACCAGTTTGCATTGTCAACATAGAAAACAGGCATTTTGTTGATACAGTATTGATATGGTAAGTATTAAAGTGCATTCAATTCATTCATCATGCTTTAAAAAAAATAGATCATTGGCAACATAGTAAAAATGTCGATACTCCCAAACGTAATCTACATGTTTAATGCAATTCCCATCAAAATTCCAATGATATTCATTAAAGAGATTGAAAAATCTACTGTGAAATTTGTATGGAAACACAAGAGGCCACAAATAGCCAAGGCAATGCTCAGTCAAAAGAACAATGCTGGAGGTATCACGATACCTGACTTCAAACTATGTTACAAAGCAATAAAGATAAAAACAACATGGTACTGGCACAAAAACAGACATGAAGACCAGTGGAACAGAATAGAGGACCAGATATGAAGCCACACAACTATAACCAACTTGTCTTTGACAAAGGAGCTAAAACAAATAGTAAAAATGTCATACTCCCAAACGTTAATCTACATGTTTAATGCAATTTCCCATCAAATTCCAATTATTCATTAAAGAGATTGAAAAATCGACCTGTGAAAATTTGTCATCGAAACAATGGGCCACAAATAGCCAAGGCAATGCTCAAGTCAAAAGAACATGCTTGGAGGTATCACGATACCTGCTTCCAAACTATGTTACAACGATTAATGCATCAAAAACAAACATGTACTGGCACAAAACAGACATGAAGACCAGTGGAACAGAACAGAGGAACCAGATATGAAGCCACACAACTATAACCAACTTGTCTTTGACAAAGGACTAAAAATATACGATGGAGAAATAGCAGCCTCTTCAACAAAAACTGCTGGGAAAACTGGTTACAGTCTCAAAAACCTGAAACTAGATCCATGTATATCACCCTATACCATATTAACTCAAAATGGATCAAGGATCTTAATGTCAGACCCCAAACTAAAGTTGATACAGGAAAGAGTAGGAAATACTCTGGATTAGTAGGTATAGGTAAAGACTTTCCTCAACGAAACCACGAGCACAGCAACTAATAAAGCATAGTAAATGGGACCTCAAAGCTTAAAAAGCTTCTGTTCATCAAAAGAAATGGTCTCTAAACTGAAGAAGACACCCACAGAGTGGAGAGAAATATTTGCCAACTATACATCAGACAAAGGACTGAAAACCAGAATTATAGGGAACTTAAAAAACTAAATTCTCCCAAATAATGAACCAATAAGAAATGGCAAGAAACTAAAACAGAACTTGCTCAAAGAAGAAAGCTCAAATGGCCAAAAAAGCACATGAAAAAATGCTCACCATCTCTAGCAATAAAGGAAATGCAAATTAAAACCACAGCTAAGATTCCACCTCACCCCTGTTAGAATTGCCATCATTAGCAACACCACTAACAACAGGTGTGGCAGAGATGCGGGAAAAAGGAACCCTCTTACACTGTTGGTGGGAATGTAAACTAGTACAACCACTCTGGAAAAAAATTTGGAGGCTACTTAAAAAGCTAGACATTGATCTACCATGTTGATCCACGCAATACTATCTGGGGATATTACCCAAAAATGTACACGGTTACTCCAGAGGCACCTGCACACCCATGTTTATTGTGGCACTATTCACAATAGCCAAGTTATGGAAACAGCCAAGATGCCCACCAATTGACAAATGGATTAAGAAAAATGTGGTATCTATAACAATGGAATTCTATGCAGCCATGAAGAAGAACGAAATTTATCATTCGCCGGTAAATGGATGGAATTGGAGAACATCATTCTGAGGAGGTTAGCCTGGTCCAAAAGACCAAAAATTGTATGTTTCTCCCTCATATGCGACATAGATCAAGGGCAAAACACAACAATGGGATATGACTTTGAGCACATGATAAAAGCGAGAGCACACAAGGGAGAGGTGAGGAGTAGGTAAGACACCTAAAAATTAGCTAGCATTTGTTCCTTAACGCAGAGGAACTAAAGTATACCTTAAGCAATGCAGGCCCAACAGGAAAGGGACCAGGACTAGAGAAAGGTTAATCAAAAGATTAACCTGAAGGTAATCACACACCACAGGAATTAATGTGAGTTCAACTCCCTGATTGGCTATTCCTTATCTCAACCAGCACAAACCCTTTGCCTTCCTATGATTTGCTTTTATAACTCTGCTCTTCAACCAAAATTAAGATAAGGGCAAAATAGTTTTCTGCTGCGGTATTGAGGGTGGGGGCTAGAGAAGGGGGTAGGTGGTGTAAGGCGAGGGTGGGAGGGGAGAAATGACCCAAGGCTTGTATGCACATATGAATAATAAAACAATAAAAAAAATAGATCATTGGTAGATAAAAGAAATACTTTGGAAACCATAGTGTGCAATAAAAATAATAGTAAAAAAATAGTAAAATTAATTGTGTTGTTTGGGCTTAATTTTTTTACCCCTAAAGGCAGTGGATATAACATCTTGTGGAAACTTTGCTGTAATTGGCCTCTCATCAGGAACTGTAGATGTGTATAACATGCAGTCTGGTATCCATCGAGGAAGTTTTGGCAAGGATCAAGGTATTGAATGTTTTCCTCTTCATTTATAAAACTTAGTTTAGGAATTTGGGATTATGATATCCCATATAGAAAGTATTATCATTGTATATATTATAGAAACCATGTTGAAATACTCAGAGAATAAAATCATGATTGGTAATTTTTTTATTCTTTGAAAATCTCAACTATTTTTTGAAACCTCTTTGATGGCACCAATCTGATTTCTGTTTTTTACCTGAGCAGTATAGTAATTAAAGATCTTTTCCCTCTCCCCATAACACAGAATAATTTCAACGTTTTAGCGGCTATTAATAGCAGGAGTTTGGATATTTGAATAAAGGATCATTCTTTATGTATTGTTTAGACACTGTCAATTTTGATTAAGTTTATGTTTTAACATGTCCTAAAAGCTCATATAGGATCCATTAGAGGTGTTGCAGTGGATGGATTAAATCAGTTGACAGTTACAACTGGCAGTGAAGGATTACTCAAATTCTGGAACTTTAAAAACAAGTTTTTAATGCATTCCATGGACCTCAGTTCATCCCCAAATATGATGCTGCTACATCGGGACAGGTAAACTTTTTCTTTTAATAATAATGGGTATTATTTTTCATGTTTCCATTGAAAGTGCTTAAGTAAAGTACATAATTTACCATGTGAGAAGAAATTCAGACTGTTTTAGTAAAGAACAGCATTTGGTTTATTTTCCTCATGGGTCTATTTGATTAACAAAATTCCACATTCAGTTTTTTTTAATCGTTACTTATTAAAACTTATACATTTCTTTTGCTAGTGGCATTCTGGGACTTGCCTTGGATGACTTCTCCATTAGTGTTCTGGACACAGAAACTAGGAAGATTGTCAGAGAATTTTCTGGACACCAAGGCCAAATAAATGACATGGTAAAACAAAACTTAGCTGTTTAAACAACTTGCTCATTTGCACTTGGACTGAGGTTTAAAATGTTCCAATAATTGAATCTGTTGAAAAGTAGATATTATCTTTTAGTAGCTTAAACTCATAAAAAGGTTTTCAGAATAAATATAAATTACAGGCTAAATTTCAAAGAGATTTTTAGGAAAATTTTTGAAAAAAAAAAGTAATGTTTTTCATGGAATTGATGCTATCAGATTGAAGCCTAAAACTCTGAGTTTATTTCTTTACCTATAGATAAAAATAAGGCTAAAATGTACTTTGGAGAATGAGTGCTCCATTGGTAGTTTAAATATAATTTTTGTCTTAATATTAAATATTGAATCGGGCTGAGAGAACTCATTTCTGTTTTTTGCTTTTATATATGCAATGGATTAATAGTGGCTTGGAATGTCAGGCTTATTTTAGTTTAGTATTTCTTGACTTTATATATCTTAATTCCAAAAGAGTTTAATTAATTAAAAATGTGGTTAAGTTTGCCATTATGTTCTTTCAGTGGAATATGTGATATGGTAAGAAGTAATGCTTTTTAAAAGGTTATGTTTCATTTTTTAAAAAGCAAACCTTAAAATTGTCAATTGAGAACTATACTAAGTATGTATTGCCAATTGGCATCAATTGCAGATACACTGAAGAGAAATAAAAATAATATCCTAACTACTGAGTGACAAATGTAACTACTGAACAGTAGTTACATTTACTCGTCGGACCTAACTCCAAAAATCAGAATTTAAATGCTTATTTTAATTAATTGATTAGGAAATTAAGTTCTCCACCTAGGAGGTTGGCAGAAGTACCCATCAACAGATTTTGTTTTGACAGCATCTGCAGAAACAAGGGTAGGAGTGGGATATTTGTGATGAAATGGCATTTTTAAAAATATCTGTTCCTGTGACCTTGCTCTTCCTATTTCTTTCCTTTTCAGTCTTTACTTTTCTACTTGTGCATCAGTAGTTTTTCCTGCCCAATAAGAGGCTACTCCTGTGAAATCCGTGAGGATGTATAATAGGAGCTTTCCTCTGAATTGATTTTTTTTCTCTTACTTTACCATGTATACCACCGTCTGTAAATTGAGATATCTATACCTAAAGTTTGAGCTTCTAGTCCCTGTGGTGTGTTTAGACTGTTGGATTGATAATCTACTACAGCTATAAGACTTAAAATTGGTCCTATTGGGTCTTTCCACATCTAGTCTTATCTAAGTCTCTCAACACTTAACATGCTACAAGCAACTGCTCCTTACCCATTTTATAGCTAGAAAAGATAACTTCTTTAAGGTGGCATAAGTAATTCATTGTTTAAATTTTATTTTGAAATTTTTTCTGATTATTCTAGTTCTAAATTATGTTTTAGGATAAAGCATCATGTAGGAAGAAAAGGTGATTTTTAAATGAAATTGCAAATAAAAGTAGAAGAGATTCTTTAATAACTTTAATATCTTAATAGAATTTTCACCCTGTCTTCAAGTTTGTAGTGGTTTGAATTAATTCTTAGAAAGCCAGTGAAATATATAGACTGTTTTCAAGGCAATAGAGCTTTTGTTACTTTCACAAATATTTTATAACGGAAATGAGTCTAGCAAAATAATTTCTAATATAAAATTCACAGAATGGTACTTTCAATATTAAAAATGACTTACAGTCACAGTTTGTTAATTCTTTATAAATAAGAGATCTTGATATGAAAATTGGGATGACTTTTTTTTTCTTTTTTTGATGGTACTGAGAATTGAATTTAGTACCTCCACTTACTATTCATGTACTGTTAACACTTGAGCCATGCCCCATTCGTTTTATTTTTTAGTTTGTTTTTCAGATAAGTCTCAATGGTTTTGTCCAGGCCAGCCTTGGGCTGGGATCCTCCTGCCTCTGCCTCCTGAGTAGCTGGGATTATAGGAATTCTTTTTTTTTTTTTTCTTTTTTTATTATATTCATATGTGCATACAATGTTTGGGTCATTTCTCCCCACTTCCCCCCCACGCCCTCCCTTACCCCCCCCCAACCCCTCGCTACCAGGCAGAAACTATTTTGTTATCACATGATGAAAGTCCAATCCCCTTGTCGTGTTTGCCCTTGACCTAATGTCCGGATATGAGGGAGAACATAACGATGTTTGGTCTTTTGGGCCAGGCTAACCTCACTCAGAATGATGTTCTCCAGTTCAATCCATTACCTGTGAAATGATAACATTCATTTCTTCTTCATACATTGTGTATAAATACCAACATTTTTCTTAATCGATTCATACCCGTGGGGCATCTGGCTGTTTCCATACCTTGGCTATTGTGAATAGTGCTGCAATAAACATAGGTGTGCAGGTGCCTCTGGAGTAACCTGTGTCACATTCTTTTGGGTCTATCCCCAAGAGTGGTAGGATTATAGGAATTCTTAATCAGCTTCCAGATCAGTGACATATAAGAGGCAAAATTTTCTTCATGTAAAATTTATATAAAATCTTTCTATATAAAATAAAAGTCTGAATCTTAGTAAATCATACCTTTTTTTTTTCATGTAGCCTGACACTTGTTATGACTTGTATTCTTTAAGATGTTAAGCATGTATATATATATTCACATACCATATTTGTGTATGTTATATTTTGGGGTTTTTGTGTTTTGTTTTTTTTTTGAAGGCTTTCAGTCCTGATGGTCGTTGGTTAATAAGTGCTGCGATGGATTGCTCTATTAGGACTTGGGACCTTCCATCTGGGTGGTGAGTTTATTTTTAAATCCCTCAGGCAGTTTCTTAGTCATTTCCTTAACGTGATTTTACCTGTAGTTGTGGATTGACTAGTATTTTAATATTATTTTGGGGTTTTTCTAACATGGAATGTTTGGATCTGTAAACAGCAGGGAATAGCATCACACAAAAAAAAAACTATAATGAGAAAAACACAAATTTCTCTTAAAATGTTCTTGCAAAATAGAATCATGAATTATATAAATCTTAAGAAAGCTCATTTAAAAGGTCAAAACCCCTAACTTTCCTGTATATTTTTATACCCTTTCTATCAATAACATGTCAGAAATCTGTTTGCTGGAGTAAAACTTCTACTGATTCAGCACTTTCTCAGGAATTGGATAACCTCATATGTGAAAGCAGTTTGACCTTTAAAAAGGGAAAATTCCAGATAGTCTCATTTCCCTTCAACTTTTCTGTAGGCATAAGGCACACCTACCTATCCAACATCTACTGTGGATTTAGAATAAGCATAGCTAAAGAATGTCACTAGTGGGTCCAGCTCTAATGACTGGGGACTTTCTTTAAGACACTTAGAACTATTGGTACTCTATTGCTTCTTGGCCTTTGCTGCTTTCTAAAAATGAATAATACATAATTTGGATTAAAAATGTACTTTTCATTTTCCTTCTTAATAATTGTTTCACATTAGGAGAAAGAAATAGGCTAATGTTCAGTAATACTAAATTAGATATTTATACACAGATAAATGTATGTGTGTTTTGTTTTTTTGTTTTTGTTTTTGAGGTAGGGTCTCTCTATATAGTCTAGGATGGCCTGGAGCTCAAGATCCTCCTGTCTCAGTGTCCTGATGCTGTAATTACAGATCTGCACCACCATATCCGGCTTACAGAATATTTTTTTAAAGTACCAAGTTTATCTTTGAAATAAGAGAATTAGGATCTGAAAGTAGCTTTCAAAGCCACAAAACTTTGACTCAGCATAAGTCTTTTTTGCTGAATTTTTTATTTCAGTATAAAGTCAAACATTTAATCTGATAGGTTTTCAACTCTAATAGTATCTTATTTTTAGGTGAATATATGCCATTTTTGATTAATACAGAATTTTGAAGCTGAGTAGAACACAAGAGCAAGAAATGAGCCGTATTGCATTGTTAAAAAGAAAATATAATAAAATCTACACTAATTGAACAAAAGAAAAAAAGTTCTTTGGTTAAATATTTGAAATGGAATAAATGAGAGTGAGAAATCTTGAAATAGCAAAACAACTAATACTGCTTACTTGCAACTAAGCTAATCTTTCTCATATGCTGTTAGGCACTTTATATGCTTTTATTTATTTTTCTTTTTTTTTTTGGTGGCAATGGCGTTTGAACTCAGGGCCTTGACACTTGTTGAGATAGTTACTCTATCACTTAAGCCACATCTCTATCCCTATATGCTTTCATCTTTATATCCTAATAAACATGGGTACTATATTGTTACTCTGTTTCACAAGTGAGAAAATGAAGACTCAGAGATGAATTAAGTGATTTGCCCATGATAGCTATTTATAAATGGCACAGCCAAAAATAAGCATGGGAGAAAGCTTTCCATATCAGACTTGCATAGGTTGTGTCATGTGTTTAAGAATGGATTGATTTTCTTGCTGTAGAAAACATAATAAGCAAGGATTAGCATATTATCATACAACCCTAAGTAACTGTTGAATTTTTTTGATTTCACCTCTTTTTAAAACATTCAGGATGATAATTTTAGATAGTCCTAGTTCTTTCTTCAGTAAGCAGTTTCATTGTTTATACATGTTAGATATTTAAAGAATGAATGTACTCATTGTATAGCCTAAAAATTGAAGCAATCTATGAGTAAACTTTAGAATGTAGTAACATACAACTATAGTCATCTGGAATTGTACCTATCTAAAACAAGCATGGCTATCGCAACCAAACTATTCCCTATAGTTGTTTGTTTCAAGTACTAAAATGTTTTTGTTTGTGGAATTCTTACAGAAACAAAATTGAAATTTTTTATCCTTGAAGTTATCTGTCATTTACTTACCACCACCACTACTTTTTATTCTGGTTGGTTTTGAATAAAACATTGTTTTGCACTTTTCATGGAGGCAAAACCATTCATTTGTTATAGTCATTAAGGATTCCTGTGGAAGGAGATTCCACCACTTTGGAGACATATAGATATTATCTCAGTTTTTCCAGAATAACGGAAGTAACTTATTGAATGTTATTTGTAGGCCTCTGATCTTAAAAATCTGATCCCTTAGAATGGTAATGCTATTAATGTTCTTTCAGGAAAAAAAAAAATTACAATGTGTATGCCTGGGACTTTGTAGGAATATCAGGAGACTATATGGTAGTTTTAGGTTTGGGACGGAGCCTGCATACTTAAGATTTATGAACTAATGTGACAGTGTAAAATATGCTGTGTCTGTGGAAACTGCCTTCCTCAATTTGGTGTTTTTACATAATGGAAGACCAGTCTACCCACACACCACAGCTGCAGAAATGAAGTTGCACAATGAAATAGACAAAAAAAAGTAGAGTATCAAGTAAAATAAGTTTGGTAAAGCAGTAAATTCTTTCTTAAAATTTTACTTACAGTTGGTGATACTGGGTTTGAACTTAGAGCCTGGTACTTGTTAGGCAAGTGCTCTATCACTTGAGCCACAGCTCCAACCCTAAATTCTCTTTAACAGATTCTAATCATGTTAGGAAGTTTCACCCCTTATATAACTTAAACTTTTGCTGAAAAGTACTGATCAAGACAAGGGAGAATTTAACAGTATCTGAAATTGCTACGTTTTAGGTTTAATTTTCATTTATATACATTGGGGTTATTTGGATTGAGTGAATTAGCATAAATAATTTAAGTATCTGTGACTTATAAGTGTTTAGCAAATACTTTCTTTTCCCCAGTCCCCTTGATCCCTAAGAAAAGCCGCTCTTGTGAACCCCCAAAATAGGCTTGAGCAGAAATCAGATAGATTTCTGCTCCTTTCTTTCCCCATGACTAGGAATTAAACAACAGTCATTGTCCTGAATACATTTTGGCATTTGTTTTGTTTGGCATTTGTTAATCTTTTTCTCCCACCTTGCATTCATTACTTAAGAATTAAATTTTTAGTAGCTCTTTCAAGCAAATTAAGAGAGAGGTTTTACCGTTGGCATGTCACTTAATGTCCTCACCAGAGAGTTTTCATTATATTTGAGCTGCCCATAGTATGTTCCATGATTTGCCAGTGTAAGCACATCCTGGTTTTGTCTATATTCTCACACTGTTGGTTGTACTTTTAGCTTCAATAGTAGTTTTACTAGAGTTAATGGTGGTGAAAAGTTAACTGCTATTATCTGGTTCTTAAGTAATTTGTATTATTTAATGTAGATCCAATATTTTAGTTACTTGGTTGTATGTTCCCGTTGATGCATCATCTTCAGTAGAAGGAATGATTTTTAAAACATCTGGATTTAAAACTCTTCCTAAAGGTGTTCCTGCTTTTAGCTGGCCTAAGGAGTCTTCTTGATAGAATGGGGATAAGTGTAGTGTACTAGGCCTTTCTTGCCCACCTCTTTTCACCTCCTACAGCCACCATGTTATTCAAATCTTTATTGTTACATATTTAATGCTGTAATCCTACTGATCTTCAAATGTATTGCTTCCTTATGGCAAATATTCTTATGACTGTGAAGATTGTGCTCAAAAACGTTTAGTTAGGTACCATCAATTATAAGGTGAAAACAAAATCAGATTTTAGTGTTAAAGATTCTGTACTCGGGCTTCTGCTTCATGATCCCACCCACTGTACTCTCTGTACCCACTTATGTTTTTTTCTTACCATACTTTGCACATTTCCCTCAGCCAGAAAATTCATTCTCTACCATTAGCATCATTTAAAGTTCTTCCATTTGTAAGTTTTAGCTCAAACATCCTGTTCTCTGTGAAGTTCTGAACTTTCTACCTGGCTGAGGTCATGCATTTGAAAGGGTGGGACTAATTTCCATAAGCTGCTTTATAGTTGTTTTCCAAAGATGGAATGCATATTTGTTCATGTATAGCATGATTACCTATTTGGAAAATAGTATGAATTACTCAAAAGTTTTTTCTATTACTGGTCTCTGTTTTTATACTGATTTTATTTTATTACATTCTTTTCTGTTGCCTAAGGCTTTTATTGTTTTCTACAAAAAATAAGGACAGTAGTGATGATTAGGTTTATTTCAGATGTGTGATGTCTTTAGAATTGCCTCTGTCAGTATACCAAAATTGAGAATTGGAAAAAACCATCTTTTCCTATATTCTCTCCATTATTGAAACTCCTTCTCCAGTTAATTGGTACGTTTAGTGTTTTGGATCTTTCTCATTAAGAAAGATTATTTTCACATAGTAACTTAATTGACAAAGCTGTTTGTTAATGATGACTTTTTGGTGGTAATTTATTAAAAAAGAAAAAAGCTTTACATCTTAACCTTGTTTTAGCAAACAGTTTTTATGAGAGGGAGGGAGGTGAGAGAATGATGGAGGGTGTAAATCTAAGATAAATTGTAAACACATATGTAAATACCACAACGTATCCCCTTGTACAACTATTACATGGTAATAAAATTTTAAAATTTTTAATGAATTATGCCCTCTTTTAGTAGAATGAAAGTACTTTAATATCTTTATTCCTTTCATTGTTATGTTTGTGTTATGTTTATGAGATATACTTAGCTCCTCTCAGTGTTATGTTTATATTATGCTATGGTCATGAATTTATACCCTTTTTAGTAGAGAATGTTAAGTTTATGTTATGTTTATGAATTACACTCGGCTCTTCTCAGTGTTACGTTTATGAATTATACCCTTTTTAGTAGAATGTAAGTACTTTAAAACCTTTATTCTTTTTGTAGCCTTATAGACTGCTTTTTGTTGGACTCAGCTCCTCTCAATATTAGTATGTCCCCCACTGGAGACTTTTTAGCATCTTCCCATGTGGACCACCTTGGAATTTATCTATGGTGAGTTTTTTCATGTAGTTATCTTATTTGGGGAGGAAGAGGATTGTGGTGACAATGATACTGTCAAGAATCGTAGTTAAAATTACCATTTTTTTTTCTTTTATTATTCATATGTGCATACAAGGCTTGGGTCATTTCTCCCCCCTGCCACCACCCCCTCCCTTACCACCCGCTCCGCCCCCTCCCTCTCCCCCCACCCAATACCCAGCAGAAGCTATTTTGCCCTTATTTCTAATTATGTTGTAGAGAGAGTATAAGCAATAATAGGAAGGAACAAGGGTTTTTGCTGGTTGAAATAAGGATAGCTATACAGGGCATTGACTCACATTGATTTCCTGTGCGTGGGTGTTACCTTCTAGGTTAATTCTTTTGATCTAACCTTTTCTCTAGTTCCTGGTTCCCCTTTTCCTATTGGCCTCAGTTGCTTTTAAGGTATCTGCTTTAGTTTCTCTGCGTTAAGGGCAACAAATGCTAGCTAATTTTTTAGGTGTCTTACCTATCCTCATCTCCCTGTGTGCTCTCGCTTTTATCATGTGCTCATAGTCCAATCCCTTGTTGTTGTTTGCCCTTGATCTAATGTCCACATATGAGGGAGAACATACGATTTTTGGTCTTTTGGGCCAGGCTAACCTCACTCAGAATGATGTTCTCCAATTCCATCCATTTACCAGCGAATGATAACATTTCGTTCTTCTTCATGGCTGCATAAAATTCCATTGTGTATAGATACCACATTTTCTTAATCCAATTGTCAGTGGTGGGGCATCTTGGCTGTTTCCATAACTTGGCTATTGTGAATAGTGCCACAATAAACATGGGTGTGCAGGTGCCTCTGGAGTAACAGTCTTTTGGGTATATCCCCAAGAGTGGTATTTGCTGGATCAAATGGTAGATCGATGTCTAGCTTTTTAAGTAGCCTCCAAATTTTTTTCCAGGTGTTGTACTAGTCTACATTCCCACCAACAGTGTAAGAGGTCCTTTTTCCCCGCATCCTCGCCAACACCTGTTGTTGTGGGTGCTGATGATGGCTATTCTAACAGGGGTGAGGTGGAATCTTAGCGTGGTTTTAATTTGCATTTCCTTTATTGCTAGAGATGGTGAGCATTTTTTCATGTGTTTTCTGTCCATTTGAATTTCTTCTTTTGAGAAAGTTCTGTTTAGTTTACTTGCCCATTTCTTTATTGGTTCATTAGTTTTGGGAGAATTTAGTTTTTTAAGTTCCCTGTATATTCTGGTTATCAGTCCTTTGTCTGATGTATAGTTGGCAAATATTTTCTCCCACTCTGTGGTGTTCTCTTCATTTAGGACCATTTCTTTTGATGAACAGAAGCTTTTAGCTTTATGAGGTCCCATTATCTATGCTATCTCTTAGTTGCTGTGCTGCTGGGGTTTTCGTTGAGAAATTCTTACCTATACCTACTAACTCCAGAGTATTTCCTACTCTTTCCTGTATCAACTTAAGAGTTTGGGGTCTGATATTGAGATCCTTGATCCATTTTGAGTTAATGTTGGTATAGGGTGATATACATGGATCTAGTTTCAGTTAAAATTACCATTTGATGTTTTTTGGTTTTATATAATGAAAATGTCACATAGTTACTCAGTTAATTCACCATAAGTTAGCCTATGACTGACTCAGCATCAACTTGATAATTTCGACAGCTTTGCTGAAGTGCATATTCTGAAGTATATGAATGATGTTTATGTTAGCACATTCGACTTATATTTGCAGTAAAGGTAAGTGAATTTAAAAGGTTAGAAGAGGAGAGTACCCAACTAGGCCCTGACTTTCTTACTACTACTCCACCAGTGCTATCTGAGTTTGGCTGATCTCTTCTGAACTTCAGCATACTTAATAAAATAAGTATTGGGAGCAAAACTAATGGGAGCAAAATTGCTTAATTCTTCATAGCCACATAAAGATACTATCTTGAGTTCATATCATATGTCTAATTCTTTTAACTCTTAATTCTTTTCTAATTCTTTTTTAAATTAGTAGCCCAAGCTAGCTTTGAACTCTCAATCCTTTTACCTTAACTTTCCAAGTACTGGGATTGGGATTACAGGCATATGCCGCCACACCTGGCTCTTTTCCTAATTGTAATTATAAACTGTTACTGTGTTTTTAAGATAAAGGTAAATTAGATATATAACAGAAATAGACTTTGGCTTCCTTTGTAAGTAACATGGGGTGTTTCCTAGGGTCAGTGAGGCTTCAACAATTAAAAGAAGAAAAGTAGCTGTAACACATCTATATCAAGAGTATGGGGTTCTCTACAGTACTATTAATATACCTCAGGACCTGAGATTCCCAATTTATATTTGCCATTTGCGATTCATAATGTTGGGGATAATCTGTCTCTACATTTGGACAATTTGTTTATATCTTGATTACCCATCCGTGGCCTGTGTGCAGAGTCAAGTAGCAGAAATATGGCCACTTAGAGGATCATTCTAGAAAACTAAAATTATGACTTCAACATCCCCAAGGTTATAGTCAGTATATTCACTCTGTGACTAACTTTATGAAACTATCATCCCTTTAGTTACGATTTCCTTAAATTAAGGATGATACTTGCCAAAACAATATGTGGAGGTTGTTTTACCTTATAAAAGTAGTATCTCCTACTGGTGTCTCTTAAAATTGTTTTTGTACTGTGTTAAAAATAGACTTCACTGCTGGGTGCTGTTGGCTCATGCCTGTAATCCTAGCTACTCAGGGGGCAAAGATCAGGAGGATCGAGGTTTGAAGACAGCCCAGGCAAATAGTTGGAGAGACCTTATCTCAAAAATACCTAACACACACACACACACACACACAAGAACAGCTGGTGGAGCAGTTCAAGGTGTAGGCCCTGAGTTCAAACTCCAGTACTGCAAAAAAAAAAAAAATAGACTTCATTAATGTTTTTATATGGCATTCTTATGATGGCATGTTAAATTAATGCAATCTACCTTCAAGGTCTTTTCTTAACTAGTAAGTGATTACAGTGGCTAAGTTCAAGATTGTAGAAATTATTGCCAAGCATTAAAGTTTGTATGAAGAAACTTTTTATAACTTTAAAAATAATTTACGTTTTGATTTCTCAGGTCCAATATTTCCCTGTATTCAGTTGTTTCTTTACGACCACTTCCTACAGATTATGTCCCTTCAGTAGTGATGCTTCCTGGTACTTGTCAAACACAAGGTAATTGCAAAATAATTTTTGAGATGTAATAGTTTAAGTCTAACTAAGGGCTATTTGTACAGAATGCAAGTTTAATGCATTCAAAAATTTTTAACTGATACGAAATATTTTGAATGACTTCAATGTATGGAAAAATGTTATTGATGTGCTGTCTTTAAGATATTAAATAATACACTGGTGTAAAGGTAGCTTGGGTCTGATGATGGGAATTACAGTTAATAGGAAGAAGGAAAGGGGATAGCAAAGGAAATAAATAGAAAGAGCTTACAGGCTATATTGAGTAAATTTATAACAAAATACAAATGAATTAAGTTGCCTATATATGATAAAAATCTCATTCATTTGTTTTACCTGAAAATTTACTTGAAGATATGGAAGTCTCAGAAGAAACAGTAGAACCAAGTGATGAAATGATAGAGTACGACTCCCCAGAACAGTTGAATGAGAAATTGGTAACTCTGTCACTTCTCCCTGAGTCACGGTGGAAAAACCTTCTTAATCTGGATGTTATTAAGGTAATACTATAGTGCCTTGATAATGAGCACTCACCACACATTCCACAAGCTTTTTGTTTTGTGTTTTTAAGCAGAGAGATAGTTTCCTCTACTTTGAGGGCACTGGGAGGAGCCATAAATAGATAGTGCTATTTAGTTGAATGTTGTCTCATCTAATGTAGTTGTCACAAAGATACCCTCCAAAAATCAACTTTGAAAACATTGTCCAGATGTTTGGATGTGACAGAAGTACATTTTGCAACTACAGAGCTATTAGAAATGAATATTTTAAAATCCATTCTAATAAGTTATTTTTTGTGTGTTCAGTACTGGGGCTTGAACTCAGAGCCTTCACCTTGAGCCACTCTGCCAGCCCTTTTTTGTGATGGTTTCTTGAGATAGGGTCTTGCGAACTATTGGCCCAGGCTGGCTTCAAACCTGCGATCCTCCTGGTCTCTGCCTCCTGAGTAGCTAGGATTGCAGGTGTGAGTCACCAGTGCCAAATAAGTTAATTTTAAATTAGCTTTTAAAACAAGAGAGAAAAAAATTGCTACCATAGTGTGTGTATATCTTAATGGTAGGTGTTTGAGGGCCAAAAAATGTTTGCCTAATTTTTTATTTTTTTAAGCTACAGTTAACCTTTTATCATCCCACATTCTACCCTTTAAACACCAAAAAAGATTTTTGAAGATTGCAGTATCAGGGTCAGATATATAGGTTGATATGAGATAGATACTAGATCTGTACTGAGACTCTGGTAGTGGAAACAAAGTGAGCCTCTTTTATCCATTTAAATTTTCACATAAAGAATGGTCATGTGATATAAATTAGTGAAGTGTATGTCATGACCCTTTTGTGAGTAGTAAAAGCAATTGAAAGAAAGTGTGGAAAGCTTCAAGTTATCTTCTGATAAATACTAGGAGTATTATTTTATGAAACTTGATTAGATAAACACACTTCATGAATCTTATGTGTATGCTAAGTCATAGTGTATGTTGTGCCAAGGTTTAGATATGTTGACATAGATAACTATATTTTAACAAGCTTAGTAATTATCCTCATATGTTAGCACTAGAGAAGCTATGCATGTCTTAGGTAAGGAAAGCAATATTGATATTTTAAATTTCCTCAGAGCAATCAAAAGGACTTCTGTTTTTACTTGCTGACTTCCAAGAGGTTGGACATCAGCATAAAGGTATGCTGAGTAAGAGCATAGCTGTGAAATCTCTACATCATGTTGTCCAGGTTGTCAGTTCCCAAGAACAAGTACTTTATGGAATAGCTTTAAAACCAAGGCATTAAAAAGTACGAGCAGATGAGTATGAGAGGAGCAGTCAGAATAATGCCTAACAGATCAAAGTTTTAGTGATTCTGATCCTCACTAAGATACAGCACTGCATAAAAATGTTTAGTAACCTGAGTAAATTATCTTTAAGACAGAAATGTGATAAAACCTCTAATACTTCTTTTTCCTACTAAGCATTCCAATAGTTAGAATGTTTACATTTGTTCTGTAGGTTACTTATGTGAGATTAACTTTTAGAGCCCTGAAGAGCTCCTCTAAAGCTTTTTGTATTTTTTGAATCAAGGACTGTTCCCTTCTAACTCAAAAATGACAAGTTACAAGGGTAACTGATGTTTATCTCAGTCTCTGCCATCCCAAAGAAAGGCTGTGTTTATGCTGCAATCATCATCAGTACTTTGTCTTGCTTTCCCTTTATACCACAGCTCCATGAGGCCATAAATACCCTAGGTTTTTTTTTTTCCCAAATTTCCCTATATTTCAAGAGATTCTAAAGAACAGAAGAATAGTGTAAAGTAAAATTGTTTACTAGGTAAATTACTATGGAAAGTTTGTTTCATTGAATGCTCCTGAGGTAGTCATTTATAGAAGTGTGTTCACTAAAACTAAATTCTATCAATGGAAATTCCAACAGAATTTTACTAACATTTGAAATATAAACCCAGCAATAGTGTTTTCTTGCTTTCTAAAAGCATAAATTATTAAGGAAAAATAAAAATTCCAGCAAAACTAAAGCATTTAGGGCCATGCTTCAGGAATTACTTCTAATGAAAGAGCCTGCTTCTGGCTCTAAACTATTTTGGGGGGCAGGCATTTTGAGAAGCCATTTTAGATATCAGGCGTGGGAGAGAGAAAGAGTGAGAGTGTGTGTGTGTGTGTGTGTGTGTGTGTGTGTTGCTTGTATTTCATCTTTTTCATCTTGTATAATGGATATTTGGGTTAGAGGTTTGTTTTAGAAAGATTAACTTTGTCTTAAGGGCTGCTCCTGTACCCAGTCATTTTCCTTGTGCCTTGTAGCAAGGGTGCTGGAGGTCTGCATTGGGAAGCCTGGGTTAAGGGTAAGCTGTTATTGGTGAAATGGATTTTATTTCAATATTTTAATCTGGAAAGGTTTTATTTCTTTGTACTTCTTATTAATTTGGGATTCAGTATTATGAACTGTTGACAGAATGATTATTTACTAGTCTTTTTCTCGTTTTCTCTTAATCAGAAAAAAAATAAACCAAAGGAACCGCCCAAAGTACCCAAGTCAGCACCATTTTTTATTCCAACAGTTCCTGGACTTGTACCCAGGTTTGCTATACCTGAACAAACCAATGATCCCCAGCAGGTAAAAACCAACTTGAAATATTCTAAGTTATGGGATATATGTTTGTATTTATTTATTTTATTTAGTTCTTTATCAAGACCTAGTTTTACTAATATAAATTAAGGATAGCTTTTAATTATTTAAATATATATAGGTGACCTGTTCTTTGACTAATGTTAATGTGTATTTGTTTTTGTTTAAGTCTAGAGTGGTAAATCTTGGAATTTTGGCTCAAAAATCAGATTTCTGTTTGAAACTTGAAGAAGGACTGCTAAGCAATACATGTATGTTAAGTTATAAAATACTTTAATATTTTATAATTTTAATAAGTATCTTTATCTTGTTAGGAAAAATTGAAGGATCAGATTTCTTAGTAGCTAAAAGAAAATAATAAAAACTAAAAGGATTGAAATTCTGACTAATTTGCACTAGTTTAGCTTTTGAGTTATATTTAAATGAATGACACCAATATTTAAATGAATGAATGCTACCAATATTTTTAAAAAATCTATTGAAAATCTTAAACACCTTCTGTATGGAAAATTAAGAGTTTTTAGTTTTGGTTTTGGTTGCAGTTTGGAGATGTATACATTTATTGACATATTAAGTCCTTGATGTACATTAAATGTAAAAGCTTTTTGTAGCAGTAATTTACAAGCCTTTGTTTTTATTTACAAATTTGATTTACAGTATAATTTTCCATACAGCAGAGACTTGTCTTAGAAAATTTTATATATTCCTAAATTATCCTATGGAAAATAAATTTTGATCAGACATGATTGTCATGCGTAATCTTAACTACTTAGGGGTAAGAGATAGGATCCCAGTTCACAGCCACTCTGGGTAAAAAAAAGTTAATGAGACACTGTCTCAAAGAACAAGCTGTGTATGTTGGTACATGTCTAGAATCCCAGCTACTCAGGCATAGGTAAGAAGATTCCAGCCCAAGGCTGGCCCTGGGCAAAAGGATAAGATCTTATCTAAAAGATAAAAACTAAAGCAAAAAGGACTGGGGCATGGCTTAAGTGACAGAGTGCTTCCTAACAAGTGGCAGGCCCTGAATTCAATCCCCAGGATCACCAAAAAAATTTTTTTAATTTGTATGTTAATGTATTTTAAATTTTGTGGTTATGGTTTGTAGCTGATAGTAATGAACAGTAAGAACAATAAGCAATTTAAAAAAATTACAGGCTCCTGAGAAATTTTGGAGTCTACATGGACAAAAAGTCAAAGAATGGTACAAATTGGTCCTTATAAATTATGTTTTGTTTATTGAGGGACAAAGAATAAAAAAACCCACTTGTTTAAAGTATATGAAGGACAGAAAATAAAATTCATTAGACTTGTGGTGTCCTGATTCAGAAGGCGAAAGGTACAACAACCATTGCCCTTATAACATCAAGTGACTCATAAAAACAGTTGTGTGTTGAGTATGTTTTTAATTTTTTAACAATAAAACTGAAGGAAAAAATATCTTCTCCCACCTCATCCTATTTCCAGTGGTAATCACTGTTAATGGTCTGGTATTTACTTTGTTAATGGCCTTCTTGATTTATGAGCATCTTAAAGTGTAGGCTATTAGATTTTCTTTTGACAGCAGAAAATAAGTTTGAATTACTAACTATACAAAAAGTTTAGTACTTTGAATGATTTTTATTGTATTGCTCTGGTCAGTTTCACTGATTTTCACTTATTTTAGATTCATTCATCTACCTAAATGTGAGAAAATTAATGCACAGAAAGAATTCTTTGTGCCATTTAAATACATCATTTGGGGTATGAAAGGATAACTGTAGTTTCTTTATTTTATTTATATATTTGTTTGTTTGCAGTACTGGTGTTTGAGCTCAGGGCCTTGCACTGGCTAGGCAGATACCCCACCACTTAAACTATGCTCTGGCTGTAGTTTGTTAAACAAAGTAATTGTAGGCAATAACTGGTTTCTTTTTAAAACTTAATGCAGATGAAGCCGCTCTGAAGCTTCTGAAAGAATTAGGCCCATCAGGTATTGAGACAGAGCTCCGGAACTTGTCGCCTGACTGTGGTGGCTCTGTAGAGGTCATGCAAAGTTTTTTGAAAATGATCAGACTGATGCTGGACAGAAAGCGAGATTTTGACTTAGCCCAGGCGTACCTTGCATTATTTCTAAAGGTAAGTAAATGTAAGATAATTGTTTTTGATTTTCCTGTCTCTACAGCAGTGTTTTCTAACAAAACTGTCTACACAGATGGGAGTGCTCTGTGCATTCTGTCCATACAGTAGCCTCTTGCTATATGTGGCTTTTGAACACTAGAAATGAAGCTATTCTGACTGAGAAACTGAATTTTTAATTTTACAGAATTTTTAATTAAGTTTAAATAGCCACATAATTTTTGAGTAGTTGGATGCTGAAGAATTGGACCACACAGCTTTGTAGTCTTTTATTTTTGTTATTACTCAATAGCACTGTTTTGACTGTACCTTGATTTTCCTATGTCATACATTTGGTCCAGTATGCTGAACCTTTTTTTTGAAGTTGTTACATTTTGTAAGTTTTTCTGTGATCATGATGAGTTAGGTTTCATTTCTTGTCTTTTATTTTTTGGTGCTGGGATTAAACTCAGGGCCTCATGCATGCAACGCAAGTACTCTACCATGAGCTGCATCACAACCCAAATTTACTTAAATCTTTAGAAAGTAAAGCAAAAGACTCATAGTTTGTACTGAAAGGAGAAATTTACAAAAGCACTGACTTGTGGAGTTAGAGCTAGGATCTAGGATCTGGTTTCAAGACTGTTGTTCAGTGGATAAAATGTTTGATGGAGGAGAGGGAGATTAGAAATAGCAATAAATTAGCATTTAAGAAAAAAGTTAAAACTGTTTAAATAATATTTTCTTGGGTTCCTTTTTTAGAAAAAATGAATCTAAATTAGTAAAAATTTTAATTTTCTTAACTAAAATAGCCAACTGTCTTATTTTTCTTTTTAGTTACACCTCAGAATGCTTTCTTCAGAGCCAGTACTCCTGGAAGAAATGACAAAATTGTCATCACAGATAGAAGAAAATTGGATTCATTTACAGTCACTCTTCAATCAAAACATGTGTGTTTTAAACTATATAAAAAGTGCCTTGTTATAAAAATGGATTTAAGGATAAACAAGTCAAAGACATATAAAAATGGGTTCGGTTTAACTCTGGAAGTAAAATTACATCTGCCTCTTGTTTTGAAGACCTAACAAATCTACTCAAATGTCTTGAGTTGGTTGGCATTAGTTACTTGTATGTGACTTTTTTGGTTGTTACCATCTAGTGTCTTTTGAGTATGTTACATATGAGATACTTATCTCTAAGGTTTTGCCGAATTAAAGGTGTCAGATAAAATAGATCTATGATATAGTTACAAAAATGCCTTTATGATATGAATTTAAAAGGACTGTTTCCTTCCTGCATCACTTGTGATGAAAACCTGAATTGCTCACTTATCAGAAATCTTCTGATTTAGCCTTTTTGTGGTGCAGAATAGTCAGGGTAAGGTCTGTTGGGATCTCAGTGATGGATCCAACTTTCTAACATTGTCTCATTCCTGAAGAAGGTTGTTCTTGAATCAGAACTGTTGAGTGGCACTTGCCCAAAACAACTTGCTATAGGAAGATAGGAAAGGGAGGTTCCAAATTGAAGAATGTCTCTCATGGGTGGTTTATTTATTTGGGAAGAAACTACTAACTATACTTTTCTCTCCTAACATTTGCAAAGCCTGGCAGCTCTAGCAGTTCTCTCTTTTCTCATCAATTTCTTTTTTCTGGTCAATGCTTTAGCAATATATGAATTAAAATTAGCAATTCTTAGGACTGGGGGATATAGTAGAACATTAATGTACAGTCATGTACCTTGTAAAGATTTAAATAACTAAAGCAAAATAGTTAGAGCTGTGAACTGAAATTCCTTTTATAAATCATGAACTTATTTTTATTCACTTTTTCAAATAGGAGTCCAGAGTTTTTATAGGAGATAGCTTTATCTCCAGAACCTTTCCTATGCATTGCTATCAAGGAAGGGAGGGAGAAAAAAATATAAAGTATGATTTGGTGTGTATATATTTTTCCTAAAATGTATTAGTTTATGCATACTGCTTTATTTTCAAGTTTTAAGTTGTACATATAATATTTGAGTACATTTTACTTGTAAAAACATCAGACAAGTCTTTTGTTGTTTTTTTTTTTTTTTTTGTAGCACTGGGACTTTGAACTTGGGGGTTAATACTTGCTAGATAGGCTCGCTACCACTTGAACCATTTTGCCAGTCCACAGACAGGTCTTTTTTGACAGTGGTCCTTAATTCCAGTACGTAGTCAAGGAAATAAAATGTATAGTTTTCACTTTTACATTATGTATATCATATTGCAACTTGCTTTTCTTTTCTACTTGCTTTTATTTCAGTATATTCATACTTAATTCATTTCTTTACTTTTGTGCCATATCCCACAATCTATTTTACCTACAATGGACACTTAGGTAGTTTTTCTTTATTTTACCCCTAATTGCAAGCAATGCTGAAGTAAACATCATCTTGTATGAGCCTTTATGGGCATATAAAAATTTCTCTGTAGATAATGCTTAGAATTTGAATTACAGGGTTAGATGATAATTTAAAGAGATACTTCCAATAAAGTCCAAAATGGCTGTTACCAGTTTACTGTTCCCCTCAGCAAAGGATGAGAACCTGCTTCATATCATGAAGGAAACTCACTATTAACTCTTTACAGTTTTTGTTAATTGACTGGGTAAGAGTATTGTCTTAATTCATTAATTTCTGACATTGGTAAGGGTGCATGTATCTCCATATATTTTAGACTGCTCATATTTCTTTGTGAATTATCTTTTTCTTCTCATTTTTCTGTTGAGTGATCTTTTATCTTATAAATTTATTGAGTTTTTATATGGCTTAGATACTGGTCTTTATCTGTCACCAATGTTTCCTCCCATTGGATGCTTGTCTTTAACTTTACTTAGGGTTTCTTTTTTTTACATATACTTTATGTTTTATAAGTAGTCAAATTGTTAAATAATTTTTCATGGTTTTTTTCCAAAATATAAAGCAAATCATCTGGTAAGATATTTTAAATGTATGTGTTCATTTCAGTTATGTGCATCTTCTTCTAAGATGTATAACTGTGTGGGTGGTGAATGGCTACAGCTTTATCTATAGTTGATTTGTGTGAAGAAGGTAAGGGATAGACCTGCTTTTATTCAGATGTCTCTTCAAAAATCATTTATTCAAAGTGAGTTCTTTTGTCTCCAATCTGAAATGCTGCCTCATTATGTGCTAATGCCTTTACTGAGCTATTTTATTTTTTAGTAAATAATAAATTACCTTATAGTTTGGTGTATCTAGATTTGTTGGGGTAGAGCTCGTCTAATGTTTTTCAAAATTGTCTTAGCTACCAGTGAGCTTATCTGCTTTGATTTGGATTGGGCTAAATTTACAGGATTGATTAATTTGTCTCTTTATCTTTACAAAATCAGATTATTTGTGGCCAGGCTTCTCAGTCTCTTCTTTCTATATATATAATTTGTGACAGATTCATTTCTGGGTATTTTAGTTTGCTATGGGGAAATCTTTTTCTAATACATTTGACAGTGGTTATTACTGTTTTGGTAAAAGCAATTTTATTTTTATATACCAATCAAGATAGACACTGCAAAATTCTTCTTTTAAAAGTTTGTCAATATTCTGACTTAGAAAATCCAAGAGAATTCCATCTTCTGCAGTTGCTGAGACTATATTTCTTGTCCAGGATTCAGATTCCATGTAATTCTTGTTAGTATGGATTGCTTTATCTATAATCTGGCACAAAATTTTAGAGACTAGCAGTACCTGGCAGAAATTTTTGTCTTATTACTGACTTGAATGATATATCCTGGTAGATATCTTGTTAAATTCTGTTTTTATTACTAAGTTACTACTTTTTAAAAATTCAAACTAGGGGTAAGTATAGAATTTTGTCAAGTGATTTTTCAGCTATTATGGAAGGATCAGGATCTTCGTGGGTATAATTTAATGAATTTTAATCAAATATTTTCCATATTAAATCATTTAATTCCTGGGTTAGAGCTGTCTCTAAGTAGGATGAAACTATCTCTTTCATAGAATTATCCTTGATTTAAAAAAAAAAAAATTAAAGGGGAAAAAAGCTTGCCTAGAATCTTTGTGTGAGAATCAAGTAAAGTCAGGTCTCTTCTGTCAAAGTAGCTTAACCTTAACCAAACCAATACCATCTTAAAGTCTCATATTCCTGAACTGTGAATAATCACTTTCTCACTGAGCTGTAAAACGTCAACCCCTCCCCTAACTGCATTAGGAGCCCTTGAGTAATCACTTTCTCACTGATTTGTAAAATGTCAACCCTTTCCCTAATCCCTCCCGTTAGCTAACTAGAAAGAGTTGTGAACCAATTCTCGTGAGGGGCAGAACTGCATTAGGAATATAATCCAAGTGGACTTCCTCCATTCCAAACATTACCAAGCCTGCTGTTCCAATCTCCTAAATATCTCCTTGACTGCACTCCACACATTGTACTAATACCACATTTTCTTTACTATTTAGTTCAGAATATTTCCTGGTTTTCTGTTTTGTTCTCTTTTAAACCTAATCAATGCATTTGTAACTACAGATATTTTACTTTTCAATTCTAGGGTATTATTTTGGTCAATTTCAGGCATTCAGTTTTTCTGTGAAAATTCTGCATTTTTCATCTTTTTTGTTCATATTTTCTTCAACATCTTCCTAATAGCTTCAGTTTATCTCTGGTTTCAAATGTCTTCAGGGTAAGATCTGTGTGTATTGCAGGTCCCTCCCTCTGGCAGGACCTGTGAGTTTAGCACAGTGTTTCCCAGGAGTTCCTACTCTGATTTGCCATACAGCCTTCAGATTCCTGAGCCACTATCAATACACATCTCCTGGAGGGAGAATTGGTGGACGGGAAAATGAACTACTATGAAACTTCTCCAGATTCTAATTAGTGTCACTGGCCCACACACATCGAAAACTCCGCTGATTTCATCTTATCTTGGAAGAATATTTCTGCCTGAGTCAGGCCCTATCCTCATCTGCCCACTCCTGACTCAGCAGCTGCCCTGGGGAAGGTAATCATCACTGATCGTCACTTGTTACGAGTAGAAGATACCTGTGTCTTTTTGGAATAGAGATCTTTTACACTTTCCACAACATTTTGGTGGCTTAAAAAGTACATTTTGTTTTTTTAGTTATTTCCATTAAAACTGTGGTGTATAACAAGAGCAATGGTCTTTTTTGCAAACCTTTGTAGTCTAATCCCTAACTATCCAGTTCTCTCCACCTGTATTCTGCCACCTAATCCAGGCCACCATCATCTTACTTCAATTCCTCCTGAGTCAACTATCCTGTTCCTGCTCTTAACTTGCTGCTGCTAATCAACTCTCCATTTTGTAGTCATTGAACTCTTCAAAAAGCAGACCCGAAGACAGCACCCTCTTGCTCAACACTCTTTAGTGGTTTCTCTTTATTGTAAGGATAAAGATCAGAACCCTTAGATGTGATTTTTGGGTAATAAAGATGTACAGATTCATCAGAACAAAAGCACCACTCTGGTTGGGGATATTCATGACTGGGGAGGTGTGTATATTTGGTGGCAGGAGATGTATGGGAAATCTAAATACCTTCCTGTCAGTTTTGCTGGGAACATAAAACTGGTCTAAAATAGAAGGTCATATCTGTATCTCTGTTTCATATGCATATATATAGCATATACATATATGTCAGCACTCTGTATATCACACTGACATATATGTCACCCTGAATTCCATGTCCATGGATTCAGCCATGGACAATATTTGAAGAAAAATTTGAGTTCATACTGAACATGTACAGACTTTTTCTTGTTATTCACTAAACAGTACAACATAACTATTTACATTCTATTAGGTATTACATGTAACTAGAGATGATTTAAAGCATATGGGGAAATGTGTGTAGGTAATATGCAAATGTAGGTTGTATTCACTTTACTTAAGGGACTTGAGCGTCCACAGATTTTTGGTATCCCTGGGAGGTCCTAGAGACAGTCCTCCATGTATATCAAGGGACAACTATATAAGTAGCAGGTAGAAACAGATAAAAGATACATGTATGTATGTGTGTACATATGTATGTATATAGATACCTTTAAATCCTTAATATGCTCACCTCACAAGGTGTTATTTAGCTCTCTGGCTTCATCTGTGAGGATGACAGACAGATATTGGGCAAATGACTGGTGAGAAAGTTCAGGTAGTGTTTAAAGCAAAAATAGAGATGAGAAAATGGAGAGGTCATGAGACTGGACATGGCTGTGAAATCCAAGAGATGTGATGGGAAAGAGTGTATACAAATAAGACCATACACTATTTAGGGCTAAAAGTAGAATAGTCAAATTCAAAATTTGATAGGAAGTTTAAGCGATGATCAAGACAGGAAATAATGGAGAAGAAAGTCACTGGAAATGAAGAGATCAAAAAATCAAAACTTTTTCCTTTCCCATACATGCAGTTATCTAAGTAATGAGACTGTATGTTACACACACTTCAAATTCATATCCCTCCTCCTTTCCCATCTCAGTGTTAGGAAGAACAAAAAAAAAATCTTCATTTTGGTATAAATCTAGGAGAGTGACAAAATTTGGTTCTTGGGATTAAGTTTTAATGTGTCAATCCTAAATTTTGGTAAAGGGGAAATTTAATTTTCTATGGATTACAAAACAAATGTTCATGGTGGTTTTAATGATTTTGTAACTTGCTTACTTATATGTACACCATTCTTTTTTCTCTACCTATCCTACCTATTCAGAGTTACCTGGTTCACACCAACTGAAAAGCTTTGCATAACTTCGCATGAAAACAAAGTATGAAGTATAAAAAAGGCACGCTTTCCAAAAAACATGGGTCATATGATTTCAGACTACCACTTCCCACTCCTTAGGATGTAGATTTACTCTTGCATAATGTAGGTGCAGAACACCATGAAAGAATGAAGGTCAAATGAACCCAGTCATGTAGCACGAGAGTACCTGCAAGGCACATCAAATGGACGGGGAGACTGGTGGGTATGACATC